TGAACAATTCCGATTTCAATGCAGAACATGTCCTATCGTTATTAGATGAAGCATTTCTACATGTTCAACATATCATAGGAAAAATCGAAAAGGAAAGTAGTCCGCTGATAATTCCCAAGACAAGAAAGCGACATTGACATGCGATATCTACCAAGAATAAAACATTTCACTGATGAAAATCATAATTAGGTAAAGTAAAAATGTTTTCATAAAATTTGAACCCAAACGTTGAAATTTGCCCGACACCAACTGCGGCAGTGGTGGGCTCCATAAGACTCCACACTGGATTTCTAGTGTGACTTGGACTATACCATTACCTAGTAGAGTATAGACAAGGATATTTTGCAGTAAATATAATATTCTGGAGCGAATTTTATATCGCAGTCGATCCCACTTCTGATTAAACAAGCTCAGAGGAGCGGCAACAGCGCGCAGCGATTGATGCCCGCATTGCCAAGTAGGCCACGGGAGGCTCAGCTGACTGCTGAACGGCAGACCGTCGGTGGAGGCATAGAGATCGGCAAAGAAGGCTGCGGAGGACGTCGCCGGCGTACCGACGTCACGCGGACTCTCGTTTTTCGGGTAGGGACGCGCGGTGGGGTTGAAATACCAACGGCACACGTAACGCGTCATCGGCACCTAATGGGGGTGAGTTTACTGTCGACTTTTGTTTTAAGAGCGGCACTTCGAGTACGCGAACGATATATGTTCGGCTTGTTGCCGGTTCGCGAGTTGTCGAATTAAAAAAGCGTGTTTATAAAGCTATAGCTTTGAACGTCGTTATGTCATAGTCAGCTAGGACATAACGTTGAAACGGATTATTTGGGCAGATTACCCTGTTTGGACTTCTCACTTCCCTCCCGCTTTATTGAAAACCTCTTACATATCTGGAGAGAAGGAAGTTCCTCTATGTTAAAAACGCCCACAGTTTATTGGTATTTTGGCCTCCTCGTCAGCTCTCAAATATTTGATCCTGGACATTCATCTTAGTCACGTTTTTGCAACATGAGCAAAACTTCATAAAAAACCTCTCTTTTCGCTTATGTGTATTTATTTGTGTTTCCGATTGAGAGGATATATGGATATAAAATTATGTTCTGTTGAACATTGTAGTGCAGATTTGTAAACATGAGCTAACGGTTTCCATTTGCTTTGGTCAATGGTAGAAAAGTAGACTTTGGAACTCATGAATTAAAATGAAGAATTTATTGAAAAGTAGATGGTAAAAGTTAAATCAACAGAACAAATAGTGAAGCAAAACATTTTGCTTTTGTTTCATAGCGACTGCTTCGCTATTTGCAGCATTTGCTGCACTTTAACAATAATAATAACTGGAATATAACTGTATTCAACATAATTGCTGGAGTAATAGACAATGTTTGGACTAAAGCAGGTCTTTAAATGAAGGTTCGAAGTTCCAATGAGGAAATACAGCAATCTCAGCAGCTTTAGCAAAATGTTTATAATTTCCCAGCAATAATTGGAGTTTTAGATTGGACACATATCCGTATTCGAAAACCTTTCCAATTTGGGGTTGAATATATCAACTGAAAGGTTTTGCTAGCTTTGATGATGTTGATGTTGACTTGTGATGAAGAAGAGAAAATTACTACAGGTGATTGCAAGATCTTCAAAATCTCTAATTTACTCCCAGAGAAGGGTATGGAATACAGCCCGTTTAAATGACTCCAAGTACAGGACAAGAGACACGATGTTCTAATTTGTTGAGGGGAGAAAGGTAGTGCATTGGTCATTGCTTCGGACAATTAGAGCAAGCACTTCCAATACTAAAATATAGTTTGCCTAAAACTTCAACGCATCCCCTAAGTAAAAATGTACTGCCTCATTCTAGTTCTCCTTGCCATCTAACCAAACTAAACCAAAACTAACCAATACATTTTGCCACTCTTCGATTCACCGACGTCATAATTTAGCACAGGTGTAGCTCACCATACGTGAAATTTGCAACTTACGTATCTTCAGAGTATTTCCTTCTAGACCCTTACGAAAAGCATATTTTTATTCATTTCAACTGACGGTGGACCATATACTTAATCTTCAGTAGTGAAGCAAGTGCTCCAAATTTACTTTTCTATTTGCTATATCGAATATAGTCGTTAGTAGAATTCTACAGAACACTCGTGGACGTGGACGCGTCTAAATTCGTTTCGGATAAAGGACGAAGGCGGCGCGGTGGGGTAGAGGGTTCGACGACTCAATTTTGCTTTTCGGAAACGCCAGACAAATGAACCGTCTATTTAAGGTATTGCCGATTGTGTGTGACTGGTTAAAAGGAGTATCCGTGTTGCGTCACTCACGCGCCTTTGTCGGGCTAAAAGGTTCGATTAGAGATCGTTAGCGGACGACGAAAACGCCATGACGGCACCGTCGTAAAATCAGAAGCGGGATGAAGATGACCCGGCGTAGTTAAATATGCAACGTTCCCGGTTTTGCACTTTTGGTAATTTTTCCGGGAATATTAAATAAGGAGTTTTAATTCGATCCAGTGGCAATCTCGCGGAAATTGCGTTATAAACTTCGGCTCTGCGAATCCGACAGCCTCTCGGAGGGGATTTCCGTGGAAATTGTTGGGCAAGAAGCGGTATGAGAACATCATTGCTTCTCGTTGATTAAGGAAACGTTGTACATTTTTATTATTTATTTTTATTACGATTTATAAAGATTTAATCCGAAACAATATTTTTTATTCCGGTAAAGGAAATAACTATTAAGAACAAAAATTAAATGGATTTAGCTAATGGTTTATATAAACTCCCTCCCTGCATTTGTCGGCAGCGCCATCTTGCGTCCAGTATAGAAAGGTCGTGTTCTTTATCGATAGGCGGGCTCTCTGGTCACGCGTTGTCGAGGTTTCGGTAGCACACAGGATCGGACCCAAGACTTCCTAGTACTTTTTTATAGCATAGATTGTTTCGAAACCCCAAATAATATTAATTATTAGAAATTATAGTTACGAACCACCATAAACGGCCAGTATAGCGCACTGATTTTTTGTTGTAATGAACTCTGCTTAGTGGAAACATGCACAAATAAAATTCAATGACGTAGGATCGTTAGAGATTTTTTGCGCATCATTTGATATTTCACCTTTATGTTACTTTGTTATCACTGCGATATGACGTCATTGTGAAGCTAATATTTTTAGTTTTTGCCGCACTGAACTTCTTAATATTCTTATTTATACATGGGACCTCCAGATGGTAGTGAGAGACTATGGTGCGGTCAATAGAGAAGGAGATTATCATTGTATTATCTCAACCAAGGAACCATTAGGATGATAAGGGGGAGGGAGTCACATTTCGAAAACATAATTCAACATTACGTAATGCTCTTTGCATCATTTGTAAGAGACCCTTCTTCATAGAAGATAATTCGATACCCCACTGTTTGGGTTAGTTTTGAAATGAAAGTAATATCTGGATCTGAACACCTCGCACCCCATATTTGGACCAATGCTAATTACAATTTCTGTAGGGATTTTACTTTTGCCTCATGTCGCTGAGTTAAACATACGTAGACTTGAAGAAGAAAATCTCCCAAATCACAAATCACCACCTCCTCAAAGTAGAATTGAAAATATCCATACAGAATTGTCGTCGGTTGTTGTTGAATCGAACTTGCTAACGTTTCATCAATTATCCTGTTGGCTTCTTCAGAGTTTAACTAAAACCGGGCTCACATTCTACGCTGTACCTGCTTCGATATTGTTTGTTGGGAAACTCTATACACAGTAATATACAATTTACCATTGAAGGTGAAACACATAATAATCTCCATTTTTAGATATTCTTATCAATAGAAAATCAAACCTAACATTCGGTCATCCTGTTTACAGAAAAGCTTAGCACACATACCGACACCTTAATGCATTGTTTATCAACTATCTGAGCCCGCGTCACTGAACCTAGAATTAAAACAACTTTCATATGCTCTTCTCTCTAATAATTTCTACATTGGAGATATTTAGCGTTCCACAACCTTCCAAACACGAAGATTCCGAAAGCAATCCCACAATTGCCACTGTTGCCCTTAATTCAAAAGATCACTAACTACATATCAAAAGTTCTTAAGAAATATAACAACAGATTTACCGCTTGTCCAAAAATCTCTCAACATTTTCGATCCTTCAAAGACAAAATTCCGTTTGAGATACCAGGAGCTTACAGCATTCGATGCATATGTGACAAAGAATACATTGCATGAAATCAATTCTTCTACCTAGAGGAAGGTGATGAATTTCTTGATGATAATCCGATATGAATGTCCTGCGATGGCCACTTCAACGATGATAGAAAGTGGGAATTATGGGTTCAATGTCTTATATGCAGCATGTAGGCACGTAAGCAATATGCTGGAGCAGAACATGGTTTTCATTTTGCATTCCATTTCATATTAGGTATTTTCATTCATGCCCTAGATTGAAGATGAAGTTTCTTTTTCCTTCAAACAAGAAATACTCTATCAGTGGTCGACAATATACCCTTGAGGGTATATGCATGCAAAATTTTCCCATATTTTTCCGAGTTACGGATAAATACACCAAAGGGGGCTCATATTAGGACCTTCTGCTATAATAGAAGTTAATAATTCCGAAAAGTGTGTTTAGTGACTTGCCAGGAGGTAATCCAGGCCAGTCTTGAAAGCGCAACCCCTTTCAGTTATTTGCGGCAAATTGGCAACCTTATCCGACATACACGGCTCGCGTATAATAATACAAATATCGGGTTTCAGCCCCTAACGATACCATTACGATTATTTTTCCGTGGAAGCAGATAATGTTTCTCATCCGTCTTCGGCATTTAAAATAGCTTTATTTGTTCGTCGCGTCATCGATCATAAAAATTGGGACCTCGCCGAGGCATCATCATGCATCATGGAAGTGGAAATGAGACACCCCCAGTTTGTCACGGAGACAATCGGTCAGAGCCGATGCATCCGTCGCCGTTCCATAAAATAAAACAACCCAGCGTTTTCTCAGTATTGTTATTTTATTGGGAGGTGGAAACGAAACGATTGGGGGTGTGCAATTACAATACATCGGGAAGGGGGAGTTTTCAAAAATTCAATCGCAAACGGGTGAACTCGGTTAGGGTTGGACGGGGACTCGTTTCGTCTACGAACGAGCGGGTTTCAGAGTACGACTTGGTGGTGGGGGTATCCTGGAAAACCCCGCCGAATCGAACACCGGCAACACCGCTAAAATCGAAAATAAGAGTGCATCCTCATATGTTGGTTGGAGTTAGCAGTGGCAGGATGTTATCCAGAAAGACTTTGGCAACTGTCAACAGCATAATAGTTATATTTGTATCTAATACTCGAATTGTACATGAGAAATGATCTACAAGAATTTTTTTTTCTCAAAACGTAAAAATGTATGTATATCGCTTAAAAGTGTTCTCAAATAAATAATGTGCTTTATTTAATGCAAAAAAATAGAGTGCCTTAAAAGGTTTTTTCAAATCGAATAATCACTACAAACTTGAAAGTAAAATGACAGTTAATAATTATTTTAAAGCGGCTTTTTGCGACTTCTACAATAAGAGGTGTTCCTTTTTTGCTTTTTGTATGAAGTTTAATGTAAGTACAAAAACGAATATGCGACCTATGCGAACATGCCTGTGTTCGAATGACTCAGTATATAATCAAAATTATTAGCTATAGTGACTTTTCACTGGTATAAGTTGCAGAGCCGTTTTATTACCCCGAACCATTTAGGAATTAGAATATTGCCAAACTCCTTTCAGAGCGATGAACGATATCTTCGCTTCCTTACCTTCTTTGCTACCCTTAAGCATGTCCTTCTTCAACGGTTCCGTGGGGAAGTAAGTGGCCCCATAAAAATCTAACCTGGAATATTTAGAACGTTGTTCGCGTTAGTACGACCACAATTCAGATTTAAGAAAGAAATAGTTTTGACTAGAGACAATCGACCTGTACGAATTTATTTGTGAATATTTTTATATTTAATTTTTAGTACCAGTCAGAAGTGGGATAACACTTTTTATTTCGTGAGTGAGTGTGTTTGTTTCGATATTTCGAAGGAAAATCTGGGAGGGGTAGATTTTCAAGAAGTTAAAATAATGGAGGGGGATGTGGTACGACTTTATATTACATGTTATTTCTGAGAGGCTTAAATAGAATGACGTCAAGCAAAAACGAATAGATCAACAAAATAAGTGTTCAATACGGTAGTAATTGCAGACCATGTACCAAGTTTCTGTGAAGTAGAAAAGGAAGTATAATGTTATGGTAATTTTTTTTCGATTATATAGCTTTTGAAAGTATAAAGCGAAAGTCGCTATGTTTTTGAAGTGTTAAGAGAGAATTGTTATGATTTTTGAAAGGATAAGTAAAACGAAGTTCACAATTGCCAAGGTTTTGAGGCGAAAGTGGCTATAATTTTGCAATTTTAAGCGAAAGTCGCTATGATTTTGAAGTATTAAGCAACAATTGAAAGGAAGTTCACGGTTGTTTTAAAATTTTAAGCGAAGGTCAGTGTTGATCGCCAAGATTTTGAAGAGGTTAGGCGAAAGTCACCATCATATCGAAAAATTGAGGCGAAAATGGCTATGATTTTGCAATTTTAAGCGAAAGTCGCTATGGTTTTAATGTAATAAGTGAGAATTGTTATAATTTTTGAAAGTATTAGTAAAACGAAGTTCATTGTGATTTTGAAATGTTAAGAGAGGGTCGGTTTTGAAACAGTGGGTGAAAATCGCCGAGATTTTGAAGAGGTTAGGCCAAAATCGCCATCATATTGAAAAGGTGAGGCGAAAGTGTTAAGCAAAAGTCGCTATGGTTTTGAAGTGTTAAGCGAGAATTGTTATAATTTTTGAAAGGATGAGTGAAAGGAAGTTCACGGTTGTTTTAAAATGTTAAGCGAAGGTCGGTGTTGAAAGAGTGGGTGAAAATCGCCAAGATTTTGAAGAGGTTAGGCGAAAATCTCCATCATATTGCAAACGTGAGGCGAAATCTGCTATGATTTTGCAATGTTAAGCGAAAGTCGCTATGATTTTCAAGTATAAAGCGAGGATTGCTATAATTTTTGAAAGGATAAGTAAAATGAAGTTCCTTGCAATTTTGAAATGTTAAGAGAGGGTCGGTTTTCAAACAGTGGGTGAAAATCGCCAAGATTTTAAAGAGTTTAGGCCAAAATCCCAATGATATTGAAAAGGTGAGGCGAAAGTCACTATTATTTTCCAGTGCTAAGTGAATGTCGCTATGGCCTTAAAAGAGCTGATGAAAATCGCCAAGATTTTGAAAAAGATGCTAAAATCGACATGATATTGAAAAGGTTACGTGAAAGTCGCCATTATTTTGCAATGTTAAATTAAAGCTATGGTTTTGAAGTGTTAAGCCAGAATTTTTTAGAGAATTAGTAAAACGAAATTAAGTGTAGTTTTAAAACATTAACCAATTGTCGCTGCGGTTTTGAATGAGTAGGCGAAAATCGCTAAGATTTTGAAAAGGTTATTCCAAAATCGCAATGATATTAAAAAGTCGCTGTAATTTTTTAATTTTAAGCGAAAGTCGCTATGTTTAAGTTTTCTTTTTTATTATCTCACAAACCCTTGCTGAAGAAGAGTGTTGTATTCGTCCAAAGAGGCTACGGTTATCCGGATGAGATTGGGTGCTCCGGGAGCTTGGTCCAGCCGAGATTGGAGTCGCGTGACCTCCACCTAAAAGAAGATGACGGCTTCAAAGCTCGAGCGGTGTATCGACTGCGGCTCGGGCGACGCGTATTCCACGTACGTGCGAAATCAGAAAATCACAGCCGATAAAGAGGAACGTCTGTATTATTCGTGGGCACGTGCCAGAGTCGAGTGTTTTTGCATATCCAATCGAAATTTACCGTTGCCAGTGCTATAAAATCGTAAATAAACTTAGCCGGGCGCCTGATCCGAATGGCGAAGTAGATTTACACAAAGAGCTCGGTCTCAAGTGAATACAAAGTCTCGCTGTAGTGTCGATTTAGTTTACACTCATAATTTCTTTATTAATTAATTCAAATAAACGAAAAAGCAGGGTTATGTTGTCATATATTAGCATATGTTATAAACCAATACACGCGTCCATATAACTAGTTTTTCACCATATACCAAAAATTGAATTATGTTAACCAACTACACCGGAAAAAGTATCCGAAAATATCAGTTAATAAATATTTATTAGTGTGGTGTAAACGTGTTATAAATAAATACGAAGTTGGTTCCACTTTCTATTTATACGGAGCCGTACTTCAGGTTGGAACTTTTTTATTTCTTTTAAAGCAATAGGACATAACTTGCAAATACTATGGGTCAAATAAATTGTCCCTGAATTTATTGTTGACGCAAAGCTAGTTTTAGACCAAACTCATTTATTTATATAACTCTGCGGGGCTTGACATTCATTGCCTCGTTGCGCAAAATCAAAAGTATCTTTCATAATAAATTTAATTTTGCTCAACGAATCAGTGGCTTTTAAGGTCCCAAGGGTTGTGTTTTGGCTTCGTGAAATAAAAAAAAACATGTTGAAACAATATATTTACAGAGTTCACAACATACCGCATTCTATACATTGGGCAAAAAAGCATTATATTGCTTGTAGCCTTAGGTAAGCAATTTCTGTTGTATGTAATGATTATACATTAAAGGGAGAAAAGAAACATGTTGATAGACCATACAGATAGACCAGAAGACAAAACACCTTTGGCTGCAGAAAAAAATGTTTGAATATATATGACTTGTCTGTCAAAGGAAAAACGGTTTAGGTAATAAAATTCTAATGTTAAGTAGATATTTCAGGTTTAATTATGCCCTTGGGTTTCAATTTTGTGCAATTTAAAAGACAGGATTAACTATCCCTATCAGCTTTTACTACATTGTCGTGTCTTCTGCTAAACTAAAAGTTCAAAACTTCAATAGATTAAGCTCCTTTTCAAAATATCACGTTAGTACTGACAAGTGCATCAGTTTCTGTACATTTTTGCTTCGTTTAAATTTCTCATTCATTTTCACTTAAGTAGAGGCTTTTCTATAAAGCTTCCTCTTCCGGCTGTTGCTTGAGTTTTATATAACATTCAATAACTATATAAATAAAGCGACCAAAATAAATTATATGCTTTCGTCGATAATTAAACTTCCTCCAATGAAACAACTCTCAGACAGGCCCTCTAAAAACCTTTTACCTTAAGCGTTCAAATTAAATTTAAAACGTCCTACTGCTCTTGCGAACTACTTCAATCTCCAATCCCGCTGAATTCAAAAAGGCAATTGGAAAATATTTAACAAACGCTCCGTCGCCGTATAGTCAAATTGCCCAAGAAATCGGATTAAACGTTTGTCGCTTCTCGAAGTTTTATTTACCCGTTCAACTTACCACTGAACTGAAGCGATAGAGGCTCGCCCTGATGTCGTCTTCGGGCAGATCTATGGGCACTTCGTGTACCAGAAGTGAAAAAGTCTTCTGCGGACGGCAAGGTATTGCTACCTTTCTGTACAATCGACCACCCGTCACCTGGAACGCAGTTCACTGATCAGCATTTATAGAAAACTTGTCTTTCAATGTTAAATTGGAGAAAAAAAATTAGTGGTTTTCACTACAACCGCTTGTGGCGCTCTGAATGACGGTTATAACTATCATGCCTCATACCATTTTGAATGTTTCTGCATTTTGATATTTTTCTAAATATTGTGGTCTTATTTTCATGGTTGTAAAATTCACAATAAGCTGGTTAAAATATAAAATGCTATAGTGCTGTTATTTGCAATTTGTTGTGAACATTTCATCTCTTTGTTTACGAAATGATCGCAGAAGAAAGCTCAAACGGTTTTTGGAAATAAGTGTTAAAATTTGTACTTATTTTTTTAATTTTAATTTTTTTAAATTATTGTTTTAAGATCCAACGTAGTCGGAGGCTTTGATATGACTGTAAAGGGTTCTTTATAAGTCTAACGCTTTCAAAATGTTTTAGAATCATTTAAAATCGTTTCAGTTTTTAACTCTGCTCAGTTGGAGCTTAAATAAAAATAAAAAAGCTTAAATATATATATATATATATATATATATATATATATATATATATATATATATATATATATATATATATATATATATATATATATATATATATATATATATATATATAAATAAATAAATAAATAACTGAATATTTCTTAATCAGTCTTATTGCAAGTATTTCGTAATTCGAAGTAAAATTTTCAAGAAAAATCGTGTATATCAAAATCATCTAACGGGTAGAGATCTTAATGCAAAAATAGATACTTATGACTCATAACAATATAGGAGGTCTCAATAATTTTGCCGAAATTTTAATATCCTCAGTGTTTGAAATTATAAACCAAAAATATTTACGAAACCCATCCTCTAAAGTTGGTCATTTTTTGGTTCAAGTTCAATGACATCTCAATGTTTAGTCAAAACTAATATTAAATATTATTTTATATTTCATATTGTTTTTTTAATAATTATAGTATGATTTATCACATTGTTAAAACTCGATTACTTAATTAAATAATCTAAATATAACTTTTTTTATTGATCTTTAACAGACAAAACCACCACATCATAACTGCTAATTATTTTACTACACGTATTACGTAAAAGTCATAAACAAATCCATTTTCACAAGTATGCGCTTCTATAAACAAAAGAACTACTTCTACGGAAATTCCTATTTTCGCAAAAATTCACACTCCAATTACGTTAGCTATGCTGGAACAATTGGCTTCAATTGCACATCACCATTTGTTGACATCTTTTACTCATTTTACACGTCACTAGGTTACCTAGGTGACTTTTTCTATAGTCTGATTCAAAGAGTCGCATTTTATTAGATTTTTTTTTCTCGGTATTTTTTTTTCATATATATGTACTTAATTTTTAGCGCCTGTACTGCCCTTTTTCTAAAGTTACTTTTTTTCAGGTTTGTATTGTTAACATTTAGTAAATCTGACAGTTAATGGAATTAGTAATAAGAGCTCTATTGTGAAAATAGATGAATTTAAATAATTATAAATAAATAACATTTTGATGAATTTGTTTATTTTTCACGAGCAACGTCACCAAACAATAGCAGGAAAATGCAGAGAGCATAATAAAATTTATTCTGCAATTGGAACGAACTGCCAAGAGCATTCTAAAACGTAATGATTTGAATTAACAGAACCATAAAATCCGCGCTATTTATTCGCAAACGGTGGTCTCGTTCCGAACTTTCGGTAAAGCATCTGCGGCAAGGGGGCCCGGTTCTTTCGGGGATATTGTTTAAATTTTCAGACTTTCGGCGCCAAGTTTCGCCCGAAATTATTCGGACTTATTGTCGGTAAAGTTTCCGGCGTGTACGCGCCGAAAGTTTTGCCTATTGTGCGCGCACTGGGTCGAAAATAGTTTATATAGGGGTCCGAGGTTGTGGGCTTCCATCCCGAAAGCATTGTTTTCCTCGAAACGCTGTCATATTCGCCAAATAAAAACTAAAGATTTATCAGAACCTGTGGCGTACGGACGTGGCGGATGTTTTGAGGTTTCGAGGAAAGAAAGTCGCAAGTTCAGCATGCAAATAAACGTGTTCTCGACGTAATAAAATGAAAAGCTATGTTTTCGTAGTCGCCTAAACATTTTTACAATTTTCTATTTCCGCCGAAATTATAATTATTAAAATTAAAGAATTTAAAAATAAAGGGTGTTTTTTTTCGATATAAAGAACTTTAAGTTGGCATTACTGTTCAAGATGGCGAACGAATTAACAGCTGTCCAGTGATTTATTCTAAGTTTGATTTGGCATTTGATCATGAATAGACTCACACCTGAACAACTCTTGCAAATAGTGCAATTTTATTTCGAAAATAATGGTTCTGTGCGGAATACGTATCGCGCACTACGTCCATTTTATCGTCGACAAAATCGTCCATCAGAGCAGTTAGTTCGATTAACCATGGAACGTTTTCGCACCACGTTTACTCTTATTAATAACTCGCATCCTCAGAGATGCCGTACGGTGCGTACAGAAGAAGCTATTGCTGCTGTAGAGCGTAGCATTGAGAAATTGAGCATCTGCAACACCCCATCTGTTAATCTTGATAATGGCATATTTGTCCAGCCCTAAAGACATGTGAAAGTCCTCACTGTTTCAATCAGCTCTTGGAGTCCCGTTCGGCTCTCACTGCAGAACTTCAGATCGTCCATATATAGCAAATGGGATAGCTTTTGTCTTTCTCTATTGTTGATTTTATATCCAGTGGCGGAGTCATTCAGAAGGGTTGACAGTGGGTTCATCGCCATGCATATTATTATTATTATTAAAATGTTATACCGAAATCAGTAAATTCTGCGTATAAAGCAGCTTTGGAAATGTTTTTCTAGAAACACTAAACTTTATACAACAAATAAAATAGAGCGATTTTTTTTAAATGCTCGTTTTACAGAAACACTGTGTTGCCTATCTCCTATAGGAAGGGAAGTTTTTTCTTTCAACGTATGCAAGAAAAACATAATGTAGTCAAATACTAGAACTTAATTGGGCGAAAGTGGAAGGATTTGTAGCAACACCGAGCACGACATTCAAAATGTAAATTCAAAATTATTCAGTTTTCTCCAAAAACTTTAAGCTATCTTCAGAGATATATTGTACATAAAGGAACTTAGTTTGACAATTAATTTGCCTCCCGTAAAAAATATTTAGGAAACTAAACAACGACGATGAATAGTATAATTTTTCTTAATTTAATTTCTGTATCATGATTTTTTCTTCATTTTTTTTCATGCTGCTAAAATAAAATTCTTTCCTTTTGCGAATAGTGTTGGTGAATGGATAACAAACTAGATCTACTTCTCCGCTGTGGTCTCACAGTACTACTACATAGCACTTAGGCCCATCTGGTGGCCTAAGTGCTTGGACGCCTGCGAGGGCGCCCTTTAATACCAATACCAATACCAATACTACATAGAAAAGAAATATATGAAATGTTATTTTCTTATAATATTAATTTATTCATTCATTATTTAAAATAATGCCCCGACAAGTTTCAATGACGTAAGAATAATAAGTGTATTACCGGCACTATCAAAAATATACGAAAAACTTCTTTATAATCAAATGTAGACCTATATAATGGATAATAGAATAGTACCAGAGTGTCAGTGCGGTTTTAAACGAAAGTCAAGTACTGAGAATGTTCTTCTAAGTGTGATGAGTTGATGATATTTCCCGAGGCACTGACAAAAAACTGAGTGCCTTTATACTTTTGGACTTTGGAAGACATTCGATACGGTGAAGCATGACCTATTGATTTCCAGGCTGAATTTCTATGGTTTTTCCTCTAATTCACGCGAGCTGATTAAATCGTATATTTCAAATCGATATCAGAAAATATACTGTAATAGCAGATATTCGAAAGAAATTGAAATTTTCTCTGGGGTGCCGCAAGGTTCCATTTAAGGGCCGCTATTTTTTTTTATTTACACTACTGACATTTTAAAATCTTTAAATTTTTGCAAATTTCAGGCATATGCCGACGATACTCAATTGTATTGCTGTTTTACAGGAATAGTGAACTTTCTCGTGCCCATAATTTAAAGCTAAACCCATTAAAATCGCATTTAATGATATTTGGAAATAAAAATAAAGTTAAGCTACTTAAACAAAATAGTAATATAATGTTAGATAATATTAAACTTTCCGTTCTCGATTCAGCAAAAAATATCTTTCAAAAGGTATATTTCTCACTAAAAATCTTATAAAGTAACAGGCATACTTTGTATTTTAGACTAAGGGAACAATTATGTCACTTGTTCTCTCACATTTTAACTACTGTGATGTAGTGTATGGTTTTTAATTGATAACGAGTGTGCCGCATTCAAAGGTTGCAAAATACTTGTGTTCGTTTTATTATGGGTCTTCGAAAATATGACCATGTATCTGCTGCACAACGTCAATTTAATTGGCTTAAAATGGAACAAAGAGAGCTCTTCATTTCAACATATTCGTTATGAAAATTATCCATAACCTCGATTCACCCACTTTGCTGAGAGAGCGGCTTAGTCCTAGCAGTACTATCCATTCCGTGATACTGGCACAGACTAACGATGCCACATCATCAGAATGCCTTGATTCGTAGATCTTTCACATTCAACGCAATTCGTGTTTATAATTCTTTGTCACAGGAATTCAGTAACTTAAATTTATATCCATTTAAAAGAAGGTACAAAAATCATTTGTTACGAATACAGTTTTCCTAATAATGTGTTAATAATTATGTTATTAGTAAGGGATTATACTGAGTTATCAAATTATTTATCTTCAATTGAATTTTCTGTAGTGTGTAGTAGAGTTATGTTGTTCTTCCGATTTTGCAGGTATTTTTTATTTTATTTGTTGTTCATCCATTTTTTATTTGAATAAATAGTGCGCTATTTATTAATTATATAAATAGCTTTTTTAGCGGTTCAGTGGACTAGCAATTTAAAGCTATCTGTTTGAAAAATATAAATATTTTGTATTGTTTTTTTTTGTTATCATAAGGGCTATTTACTAATATTATTATTATTATTAAATAGAAATGCTGTTACAACAGCAATGAGTTAGGTTCATCCTTTAATTAAAAAACATAATGCACTCCCTATCTATCTCTCTTGCTTTTTGTAATTGTTGCATTTTGAATATCCGGTTAAAGCTACTTGCAGTATGTGCTCGGTCATTATAATTATGAATCTATCCCCTCAAATCAGATAAAAATCCCAGAATTTCCACAAGAGAAATTGAAGAAAAAGCTGGCACCTCTCAGATAAATGTAGTGCCAGTATTAAAAACAAATTCCTCTATCATGTTTTTCCACTTAAGATTTTATGGGCAGAGGAAACAATATTTACCAACTGTCATACGTTTAATCTCCATAATAAACATTTATGGCTGCCAAACCCCCCTCATCATAACGGACAAAGAAGACCCACCCATCAATTTTGGGATTAATGTATGGTGTGATGTTATTTTCGAAGGTAGTTTAATAGGTGTCCGTTAACTTTATTTTCTTTAAAACGATTCTGAAGATATGTTACACACTCGTCAAAATTTACACCCCATGATTTTCAACTAGTTAAAAATTACCTAAATGAAATATTTTGTGAACGTTCGTGTTTTATAACAACCAGACTTTTTTTTTGTTGGGAGCCGCAAAAGACAAGGTATGCCAGGAAACGATTGCTACAAGAAATGAACTTCAGGCTGCTGTAATAATATTGATGTCCGATCTCTAAGAAAGGCAAACTATCCACTCTTGAAAAGATCCAATAGTTGCATTTATTATAACGGTAGAATTTTGAAAATCTTTTATAAAATTAAATAAATTACCATGGTCACTAATCTAGCAACCATATGTTTATTAGAATCACTACGGCAAAAATGATACACCGCAGGAGTAAAGAAGATAATGAATTTGCTTGCATGCCTTTACCTCTTACCCACTAACCTGCACTGTGCGCCATTTTCTTTCTAAACCGCGTTTTCCACAGAATTAACTCGTTTTCTCAGAAGATTTAACGAGATCTAGGAATATTTATGAAAATACTGCCGTAAAAATGTGGCATCCAAACATATCGACGATCTCTCAGCGAGCATGTTGAAATATTGGTTAAACACGAGATTTTAAATCTACCGCATGTGCATGTTGAATGGAACTCCTCAAAAAAAATTTTATAGTTGCTTGATAAGTTCCTGTATTATCGGTATAGACAGTCTAGCAGCTATATGTTAGTAAAGTGTATTTTAAGCAATAATCTTGGTTCCAAAGACAACTTGACCAACAACGTTAACCTAAAACGCCAATTGGAATAAAAACTAAAAAACGCCAACGTTGGAATGGTTTTAAAATTCTCTATTTAATAGAGATAAAAGTTTATAAAGTTTCCACAAAGAAAAACGTATGTTTTTGATGCACATGTTAGACTGACCTTGTGGAAGCCTTTCCTAAACACCTGTTGAAAGTCGTCCGGCTCTGAGAATTTGAACAGGATTCCGGTGGCAGTTTTGGTGAGACTGAAACTGCCCCTGAAATTGAGCTTGTCGCAGATGTTCGCGGCCTTGTCGAGGCTGAGATCATGCGACGGCGTCAGCAGGAACGCTCCTGCAACAGCCACCAGGTTATTAGCTGCGCGGGAGTGGTTCCCTAACCTGCCACCTGGAGCGTAACCTCAACCTATTGCTCACCTTTGGTAAGAAAACGGGCGTGTTCGCTCAGCTCGCTGTTGTCGTCGTCATTCTCTCCCATCATGTCGGATAACATTAACGACATCATACACCCGAACTGAACATACTTTTCTAACCGACTTGCAAGTGCGAAACAGCTTTTATACGGACGACGTCTTGCCTCTTATTCTGCGAGCGTCCTACGCCTAGACAATCTTCTATAATTTGCTGCTATATAATAAAAAAAAGCCAATTATCTGGTTATTTCTTCGACGTTTTGTTTGAACGATTTCGTTAATTGGGGAATTAAGTTTGGGTTGGGAGCAATACCGAGGCAATTCTCAAGGCGTTCTTGGGATCGCTAAGGAACAAATTTGATCGCTGGCGGAATGGTTTACCCACAAACGCTTGCTGCTACTAAACACAATCTTATTCACTGTTTCTTAGAGTTCAGAGAGTTCATTTTGGCTTAGGTGCTAAGGTGCTTAGTTTTCAACAACAACAAATCAAAATTTTAATTTTATTTTCTATTTATGTCTATTATTCCTTAAAAAGTCATACCAGGCTGCACATAGAACTTGTTTAATTTATTAAAACTTTTTTTCAGTTCTGTACTTCGACATCGATATTTAACAAAAAAACGATTTACCAACCTTTCTACTTAAAAAGGTTGGTCAAGTCGCTAGGGTAGCAATGAAATTAACGTCTATTTCAGACAGATTAGGTTAATCAAACCCCATTAAGTACGTAAAGGACTATAGAGTGCCTATAACGAATGCTTAAGCCACTTGGCATTGATTTCATTATAAAATTCTGTCTTTAAACGAGTGGAGACAGTAACACAAAAAATTACGAGTAGTTTAGGGGGAAAACCTTATTCTACTGGAGTAGTTAAAAGTTATAATAAAAGTACAGGGAATTTTAATGCACTAAGTACAAGGTGCGGTTTTAGCGACAGACTACTTTTTTATAGTACTTTTATTTTTTAAGATGCAGAGCTAAAACGAAAATATGGCATTTTCAGGCACCTCTCTGATCTCAACTATCAGATAACTTATCAAAAATGTGAAAACTGTATCTTATATGACTTTTCCCGTAGAAGTCAATTTCGGCTTCGGAATTAGTATGCAGGGCTAGGTTCAAAAAGTTATAGGACCCTAATTCATTTTATTGGTACGCCCTGTATATTTATAGACTATAAAATTTGTTTTTGTTTACATTTTCAAAAATATATAATAATATGCTCTTTTCCTCAGAAACATGGACAACAAATAAACTACAATTTTTGAAAATTAAATGCATAATTTAATAATAGGCTATGCAAATCACAACAAACAGACAAATACCAAATATTATCAGCGATTTTTGGATCGACTTAAAGCAGTTTACTTTCGTTCTTTCGGTATTATCGTTTGATTGATACTTCTCAAATTATGAAAAGTATGATATGGTACACATGTTCTCTACAGAGTAATTCTGAAGCATGTTCGGAATGATATTTCCAAAGGCGAATAACGCATTATGGCTATGAAAATCTCTATTATCATTATAAGGTTGTGCTTATTAGATACCCATATCGAAGGCAATATATACGGTGTGTTCCATTTAAAGAATAAAGCAGAGCCCTATAATTTTTTGACTTGGCCCCGAATTCTGAAGGCGAATTGAGTTGTAGAGGAAAAATTATAGTCAAAACTCCTATAAAAGTTGTACCGTCTCACTCACATTTTCATGAATAAATGGAATAGAATGGATTAAAAAATGATTTTTTCTACTCCCTTCTGCAAAATACCTAATTATACGCCGATTTAGGGTGCCGGAAGAGTCACTTTCGTCAGTTTCTTGTAACATGGATCCGAGCCACTTCGGACATTTCCGGGATATTATCGCACAGGTGTGGGAGCAATCGGATGTTTTCGAGAGAATTGACGTGAAAAACTGTTTAAGTCACTCACTTATTAACCACTGGGTCCGCTCGTGTCAAATAAACTTGTGACTCAAATACCGTTTACCACACTTGTTGCATAATGTACGATTTTCTACTACCGTCAGTTTTTGAGTACATTTTTGAAAAACAACACGAATACACTGACATGGAAGTCAGAATTGACAAACGTCAAACCCGTGCTGTAATATTACGTCCGAAGTGACTCGAATCTGTGGGAAAAGAAACTAACGCGGTAGAATGATAATTTTCTCACTCCAGATCGGTAAATAATTAGCTATTTTAAAGAAGGGAGTAGAAAAAAGCATAACATCTAGGGTTATAGAGGGTGGGAGAGTTCTCCAGACAATATACCGTTTTTACAATATTTTATGGTTTTGACTTAGGCATGAATTTAAGACCCACCTGTTGTAAAGCGGAGCCAGGGTCATATTTAAGATGTTAACCGACAAGAACTGTGCCATGCGGATTGTATTTCAAGAGTAGGGAAATTTTCTTTTTTAAACTATTAATTCATGTTAGCGTGCTTTTTATAAATATTCCTAATACAGTCCCTACTTGAGCAGCCAGTTTTATGAAATAGTATTTTTTAGCAGTCTAGGCTTTAGTTATTAGTTAGTTATTTCTATTCCGTCTTGTGATTGTAATTAGTAATGACCAAGTTACTGCTATTCAATTATCTTTCAAGATCAGTGTGCTATTTTTACTGAGGTACCATATACATTTTACTACAATTTATTTCGAAGAAGTTGAGATTGTTGTCGATCTCGTAATAATTGTTGATGATGAACATTCGTCAGATTTAAATGGATCAAAAACTCGGATCGACATCTGGGGAAGCCATAAAATTGTCGTCTGAGATGACTAAAACATCGTATGCCACAGAACGTAACATAGTTGTGAATGGCGTCCAAGAAAGGAAAACGCGGAAAGATCGTGGGGTCCCAAAACGCCTACTTGACATGGACCATGCCGGAATATTGAGACGGTTGAAATATGATGCGTATCAGAAGAATACTGTTTTAACAATTAAAACTGTTCATGAAGAGTTGCGTAATGTATTGAACATTGACTATTCCCAAGAGACTTTGCGTGCGTTCGTACGAACAATTGGTTTTTATTACCAAAACCATCAATAAGAGACAAGTTCTTGTATGCACAAACTAAAGAAGTACAGATCTGGACCGTCATTGTGAAATTACAAATCCATTTATTTCCTTAATAATAATTTTACAAAAGTTACATATCGGATTATGTCGTAAGAACGGTATATTGTTTGGATAACTCTACGATGTTGGCCCCATAATCTGGTAGCGCCTGGCAACTCGCGGCAACACATGCACATTTTTTGGTGAAAGTTAATATCCCGGAGTTTCCAAATCCTCATCAGGATGACCTGGAATGAATACCCGCGCCCCTAGGGGGTGACGCGGCATTTTCCATATTCCGAAACCATGCCGTGGATACGTTGCAACGTTTTAGGTGTCCGGACGGGACCCCAACGTTCCGTGACCGACGTCCTCCGATCCCCGATCCCCCTGTCACCCGCGGCGACCATGAGTATAGCATCCTCGTCGAAGGGCCAAGCCCCGGGCATTAGTTAATGGAAGGTGCGGTCCGCGGAAGCGTTCAGGGTGCGCCCCAGGGGTGTGCCACGACGGCAGTCGTTACCGACGACGATCGGCCGGGGGTGGCGGGGGGGTGGATGAGAGAGGGCGACGTATTTTTAGCGCTACCAGAACGAAAACGTCGGAACGAATGTTCCAAAAGTCGCGGGAAACGGAGCTATTTATTCTGTTTTATCCGCAATTGCGACCCGTAGATTATGTCGGTGTCGTGTGGCCGATCGTGTCGTTTTATTATTGCGATTTACGGCGGTACAAACTGCAATTCTCACCCCCAGACCCGCGAAATTCTTTTTGCTTGAACCTTATAACAAACTCAATTCATTTGTGGAAACCTTATAAACTTTTATCTCTATTAAATAGAGAATTTTAAAACCATTCTAACGTTGGCGTTTTTTAGTCTTTATTCCAATTGGCGTTTTAGGTTAACGTTGTTGATCAAGTTGTCTTTGGAACCAAAATTATTGCTTAAAATACACTTTACTAACATATAGCTACTAGACTGTCTATACTGATAATACAGGAACTTATCAAGCAACTATAAAAATTTTTTTGAGGAGTTCCAGTCAACATGCATTTGGGGAAAAATAGATTAGGATTAGGATCATTATCTCCCCAAAAAGGATATATGGTACGGGTATAGTGAATAAATAGGGATATAATAGCAATACCTGGGCAGGGTATACAATATGGTGGAATAGACAAGAGGGAAAATAGGGAGAAAGTGAAGGATACGGAAAAAAGTCATTTTTATCAAAGTGATTGTTTGCTTTTAAAAAGGTTCCCAAAGCCTGACGTTTGTTTTTTTTGTACCGGGCGAGAAAAAAATACAAAAATTAAAAAAATTTCAAAAGAGTAAAGTGATCTTTTTACAGCCTAAACACAAAATGTTGATTACAAATATTGTTTTAAATTGTTTCACTTCAAGATTTGGTTTGAAACCAAAATATCACCTATTTTATTTTATTGCTCCTTTCTTTGCACATTAAGTTCATCCCCCACACAATAGAGGTGCTCTAGAGAATTTAGCTTGACACCATTCTGTCCACCTACCCAAAACTGACTTTATTATTCTGTATGTTCTACTTTTGCATGATTTAATGGAACTTTGACTAGGAAACAGTTGATGGTTGCCGTGGTTGCGTTTATTTCGAGACTTGTTTTAACCGACTTTTAAAAACCTAAATCCTGGAGGATGTGTGCTATGAGCGGTGCTAATTCCAGTAAGAGAGGATTTTAAATGCATCGTTTTCTAAATGATTCTAAGGTTAGTGGTCCATTTTTTTTGTTACATGTTATGAACAGCATCTCTTGGGTTTGTTATAATATAATTAGGGGTGAGGGGGGCAGTTTAGAACAGAGGCAGTTTTTAATACTTGTAACACCGAACTACACGTCTGTCAGTTGCCAATTTACGTCAATGTCAGTTTCAAACAATAAAATTTGTCGGTTGCTTTACGGAAACGAAACCAAACATTTTTTTTTTAAATTTTAAACAGATTATTGAAAACGTAATATAATTATATAATACTATATAAACAATATAATTTTGTTTCTGAAGGATGGTATTGGGGCAGATTTGAAAAAAAAAAGTGGGGCAGTTATGAATAAAATGTTCAAAAGTGCCCCCCGCTATTTGAACAAATGATGTTTATTTATTTTTTAAAATAATAAATAAATATAATTAAATAAGTTCATTTTATATTCTTTTACAGTTGTGAATCACAATGGTAAGAAATTACAAAAATAAAAAAGAAAATGATGTCAAACAAGAAGACGCCGAAAGAGCTGTATTGTGTTTTGTCAATGATAGCATGAAACTGAGGACCGCTGCTGCTATATATAATATAAAACCAACCACTTTGTACTATAGAGTAAAGAAGTATAAAGAGAATGTGATGCCAAAAAATATAAACTATAGCAGCAAACACACTGTGTATCAAGTTTTCACTAATGATGAGGAACTTATGCTGGAAAGGTACTCTTTAAAAATGTCCAAAATGAATTATGGTTTTAATTGCTTACAAGATCGAAAATTGGCATATCAATATGCAGCAGCGTTAGATAAGTTTCTTGAAAAATGGTTAGATAACTCGAGTGCGGGCATTGAATGGATGAAAAACTTTATGAAAAGGCACCCAGTATTATTTAAACTTGAAAACACGAAAATAAACAAGAACACTGAAAATATACTCCTGAAGCAATAAGTTCCTTTCCTAAAGCAACTCCTCCTACCGGAAGAAAAGGCAGAAAGAAAGGTTCGTCACAAATCCTAACTGATACTTCCGAAAAATGCGCAGTAGAAGCTGCTTATGTAGATCGGATGAAACGCAAGCCTTCAATTCTGCCTTTACGAAAACGAGGACTATGTATGCCTGAGAACAATACGTATAAAAAGAAAAAACCGTTGCCAAAATATCAGTCAAACTCAGAATCTGACGGAAATATATCTTTTCATGATGATTCTCTTATGGATTTAACAGATGGTCAAAATAATTGTGAGTCTTATAATCTAGTTAATGAAAGGGAATCAATTCCATCCTTGACAAATGAGAATTTAAATGAAAATGACTATATATTGGTAAAGTGTCACTCTGCCAAAAAAGAATCACAAATGTATTTCATAGCTTTTATTAAACATAAAGATCAAAATATGTTTCTGGTTTCTTTTTTAAAAAAGAAATTGGGTTTTAAATATTTGTTCCCTGACAAAGAAGACCAATCCTGCATACCTATCACTGATATTGTGCAGCTGGTCTATTAACTTTCAAATTTGATTTTAGTAAATTTAAACTAGGTTAGGTACTATTACCAAAGTTTTGAAGTTGTTCGTTTTTTTTTGGATATTTACTTTGATGTTGGCGATTTCGTTTATTTTGTGTTTGATATTCCAAACTTACATAGTTTAACTACTTGATTATTTTTTAAATGCCTTCCTGAGACCATTTTAAATGGTATGTTTTTAAGATAATGTTTAGATTATAAAGATAATATAAAGACAAAGATTTTGATTGCAATATGTAACTAGATCTCATATATTAAAATAATAAGTTACTTACACTTGTTCAAGACTGCCCCAGGCTGTCAATAGTTTTATAAAGTTTATTTAAGCAATAATGAGTGTACGAAGTTAGGGGCAATACACAATTATAATCTAAGATCTGTATGTCTTAAATAAAGTGTTGATTATATTCTAAGTTACATTGTTTTCTTGTTTTAATGGTGTTCCAAAAGTGCCCCTGGGGTTATCCAATGTGCAAAGGGCACATTTGATAACACAAAAATGTGTTTTTGAAAAATAATAATATTGTTACTTTAATAAGCAAAAGCAAGTAAATTTTC